TGAGGATGTTTATTTCTCTTTTTAGGGGAGACAGTTCCGCAGGGCAGTGAAGACCTAGCTTGACCCCGATAAATGCCTAGTTGCGCGGCAATCTGCGTCTAGTTTTTGCCAGATTCATGGAGCCCATAAATCTTAAAAATTCTTTTAATTTCTTTTCGTCCATTTTAATTTTTCAACTTGCTAAAATGTTTTGATCTCTGAATATTTTTTGAATCGAGGTGTAGAAGGTGGGGTTTGAGGTGGATTTATCTGCAAAATAAGGTTTGTATCGAGTAAAGCCATGTGTATTCTGAATGAATAACTTTATATTTGAGAAATCTAATTCACATTGTCACTCAAGCCCAAAATGAGAAGAGCTGTGTAATTTTTAAGCGGTCGGCGGTCATAAAAATGATGGCAAAGAATTAACGAATAGGTTGGATTTGCATAAAACTGAGGATGACATGAAGTCTAATCGTGCCCTTGGATTAGGCCTTGAAATACAGGACAAGAATTAGGTACCCTGTCGAAATGGGCGCTATCAGCGGTACAATCCCTGAAGCGAAGATGCGCCCCATTTAAATCCACTGAAAACTTGAAACTGGGCTGTTTATGGGATTAGCCCTATAGGCGCAGCTAGGCTAGCTTATAATAGGTTAGACTGCCACTCCTCACCACCCCACTCGCCATGAAGTGGGTCCAGTCGTCTTTATCAAACGATCGGTTAAATAAATGTATTTTCAACGACGCCTTTGACCGCTAATCCAACACAGACCTTGATTCTTAACATCTCTATCAATTCACCCTTTAATCTAGCAAACGATGTCCCTCAAAAAGTCTGCTCCTGAAAACAAAGTACGTGAGCAGTTAACTCGCGATCAATTTCTTGAAATAAGAACTCTGAGAAGACTTGGCTTGACAATACAAAATTTAACCAACGAACTTGACTTTACAACCATACAAGTATAACGTGCTTTTGCTCGAGAGGATGAGAGTCCTACACCTTGCAAAGGACGCTAGCCAAAATTTAACGAGGAACAAGTTCATGAGCTTGAGGCTTTCGTCCGGGAATCTCCTGAGAATCTTCAGATGTGCTATTTGGAACTAGTGATGGGACCTTTTTTTTTTTTAATCATTTAATGTGTATTCAGCTATAGAGCCATGACACATGACCGGTGCTATATATACATGTTGGATGACTCTTTTGACGTTAGAGACACTCTTACTCTGCATTTCATTTGCAAATACCACTATGAGGTATGCTTGATTACACAAACAGTCGACCCTCCTCCGTTAGTACCCACCAAAGGGAATTTGAAAACCTTTGGTTATCCAAGTATGCCTTCGTCATCCATGCATAACAGCGCCGCGAGGAATGTGGTTGTGTTTTGCCCGATTTGAACCAGCGATCTACTGTCTCGAGCGGGATATGTGTCCAAGCTATTCAGACTCTACTTAGCAGACCGGCCAAGACAATGTATCACCGCACCATCCAACCATGGCGGTGTTTATAGTGTCGCCTGCACTCTCGCAGCCGAAGACTTGGCACGCACAAAGCTCAATTTGTAAAAACTCCTTTCCAAGACTCAAAATTCCACGCCCGTCGATACTGTATCCAATCCTCTGCATCATCTTATCAACTTGTCCTGATTCCTCTCACATCCATCCCAAGGAATTGTCTTCCAGATTTGTGCGCCACGCTTTGCTTCCTCCGTCGGGTGTAAATATCGGCGTAGGCGTGTATCTGGCGACCAGCTAAGGCCAGAGAAAGTCGAAAAGAGGTGTGGTCATTGGAACGAGGATGTACTAGGTCGTACTTGTAAACTTGATGAGGCTTAGGTAGGAATCAATTTCGTTGGGAGTGAAAGATTGATGTGGTCAAGTATTTTGAATCATTGCCTCGTGGGCCAACTTGTTCGGTATTGCGAAGTTTGACTAAACTCGGCTCTGGGAGAATATTTCGCTCCCAGGTTCGTAGAGGACACCGCGTACAGGTGTTCAGTCTTGCCCTCCTAACGATGGGACCCTTCAGCCACTGGGGATGCAGTGAGCGATCACTTTCTAATGCCCTTAATAAAATAGGTTACAGCAGATGCATTTCTCGGAAGAAGCTTCCGTTAAGTGTAGTTAACATGCACGAAAGATGTATAGCGGTGATAAAGGAAAATGGAGGGTTCACAAAGTATTGGGATGGAGCAGAACTATACAAAACATGTAGCACACTTTCATTTTACTTGCGAGCCATTCTGAGGGCTTCGATGTTTAATTTTGTAGTACAGAGCAATTATTTTTGAAATAAATGTGTATTTTTAGATAATATCAATTGATTTTCTTTAATTTTTAATTTTAAATGAGGACCATTGTACATTTCCTTTGGTGTTGAAAACCATCCCCATAATTTAGATTTTCACGGAATATCATTGGTTAGTACCCTTGCTTACAATACTAGTGAACGAACTAGACATGGGCCTACATGAAAAATAAACCAATCAAATCCATACTTATAGGGATCTCCACCCAGTCATTTCGACTCGTTTACCTTTTTATCCATAAGAGACTGTCGACATGATGTGTAACGCACGGTTGATTGCGTGTACTTCCTTATCAGCCTTTTTTTTGCCTCAGCCTTCCTCAGCCTCACGTACAAGTCTCGATTAGCTCGACAATGGTTGTGAAGAGTTTTGGCGATTGAGAATTGTTCATGTGTAATAGCTGGCGTAGCACTGAAATCCCTGAATGAAAAATGGAAGAAATTACCACGCATGACAATTAGTCCAAGCTGAATATTCCAGTTACGAGCCCGCAGCCAAAATTGTTGATAGGTGCTCAGCTTTCATATCCTTGGAAGCGTAGATGGTTAGTTCTGCGATCGGCGCCCCGCTAAGCACTGCCTAGAATAGCTCCCGTCCGGAGCGAGCTAACCATAACTGGTCTGTGCTGTGCGACTGCACTTCTATTCCTTAGCGGGGTATTGCAATATAGCCCCGGCCTTCTATATCGCAGTATCACCAACTGTTTCTGATCAACTCTATTGGTTAAAATAATTGGTGAGCACCAGGGAGTAGAGGGCTTGTAATCAATCATTGTAACACGAACACATCGCGTCAAAAGTCCAAAATCTATCTTTTACATGCGCAACTCATTATTAAGCTCCGTACGCACAGTTAATGACTACTCAACGTTTTCGAAAGAGCTATTTCCATCATCTGAGTGAGCCAGATCAACTGCGGCAAAGTGCAAAAGCGGATCCGCTGTGCGCTTGGCTCGGCCAGGCTAAGCTGAGACGCGAAATATTCAAATCTCCGGTAAGGTTACAGTGGAAATGGCATCAAATTATTTTCCTCGTAGGTGCTCTACAGCAAAAGTCGCTTTGCCAACTCTAGTTTACTTACATTACTCAAAGCTCCGCCTACGAACGACGGAGGCAAACAACAAAAAGATAACATCTCTCATAGCCCACGCGTTTTAACTCAACAATTCGCCCCTCCGCCCGATCCAACTCTAGTCCAATATCCACCAAGTCCTGTATCTTTTGCAGCGATCCAACCTGTTGCTTTACATAATAGGCCACTATCTACCCCAGCGCCTCCTCACGAGTATCTTTCCGGAACACACCGCTTCTCTACACCGCATTACACTTTACCACTTCAGCAGCAACTTTATTCTGTACCTCCACAACCCCCCACCACAGATTTACAAACCCAAGTGCATGATCAAAATTCACCCAAGGCTACCCCGACATTTTCTACTCTTGATGCGAGTGCACTGCGTGACGACGTAGGAACATTCAACGGTGGAAGTTACCGGATCAGCCATAGAGATACAAATAGTATTATTACTTTCCAGCTTGCTGCAGGATGTCCGTTGACAGTGAAACCAGGTATTGATATGACAAAAACAGAGAATTATGACTAACCCAGGCAAGGTGCTATGATTGCTATGAGTCCGACTTTAACACTCAAAGGAACTATCAAAATCTCTATGAAAAAAATATTTGCTGGTGTTGCTCTTCCAAAGTCTACATTTGTTGGACCAGGTGAATTGCTAGTCGCTCCAGCATCGCTTGGCGATATCACAACTATTTGTTTAACTGGTCACGAGCAATGGTCTGTAGGTAAAGATGCATTTCTGGCTTGCACTGAAGGTGTTGTCAAAGATGTGAAAGGACAGGGACTTGGAAAAGCCATTTTCAGTGGTGAAGGATTATTTGTCTATAAAATCAGCGGTAGCGGACTGCTGTGGATGACAAGCCTCGGGGCTATCATTCGAAAGGATCTTCGTGATGAAGAGAAATATATTGTTGATAATGGCCACTTGATCGCTTGGAATATGAAGTATATCATCGAGCGTGTCTCCGCAGGTGGTATAATATCAGGACTTTCTACAGGGGAAGGTCTTGTGTGTAAATTTACGGGGCCGGGAACTGTGTACTTGCAGACTAGAAACCCGGTAAGCAGTTTAAATATTCACGGCTACAGTAATCTGCTAATCATTCTATTCTTCAACAGAACTCACTTATGCACTGGTTAAATTCCCACTCATCAAAAGGATAGAAAATCTATGAGTTTTGGCAATCAGTCCTTCTGGACTTATGAATCAGATGCCTTAGCACTAATTGAAATCCAAATTAATCATGGCGGTGCCTTCTCTTACTCAGTGTTTACCTATACGTCTATTGCACCTTCCCCTATTCCCCTACGAATCGCCAGAAACATCCGAATAGTTAATATCACCATTCTTTAGAAAAAACGCAACATAGCTAATACTCGTTTGCAACAAAAACCTTCATACCACAGCATTAATTGACTTTAAAAATAACTAGAAAGGTAATTAAGAGGTCCAGTTACCTACATTAGCACTCCTCTGTCTGAATATTGGAGTGGGGAAAGACCTACTGTCTCTCAGATCACCTGTAACAATAAGTAACACATACATTTCATCAAAACTTTGCTAACTTTGAAGAAGCCTTGCAATAACAGTTCTGTTTTGATTTACTTGCTGCTGCATAGTGATAAAATACCATGGAGAGTCCTATGAAGTCAGTAACAACAAAGCCACGGGTCAAAAAGGAGGGTTTTGGTAGAAATGAACTACTATCGACACCACGGTCTAAATCAAGTAAAGATATTGCCATCAAGCGTGATATAATCACGAAGAGCGCCAAAGTAGATGCCATTAAAACCCCTGACAACTTTAAAACTTTCACTCGGAAACAAATCATTGACTCAACTGGTGGAAGTTCTTCACGAGCATCAAACATCAGTAGCTCTAGAATACCTCGTGTACCCACTGCGGCGAATAGAATTCCTCTACGCTCTAAAATATCAAAGCCCTTAATGTCTGATAGTACTCATAACAACAATACTTCTTCGACACAAAGATCTCAACAAGCACTGCACTTGAAGCAAAAGAAAACAAGGAAGCCTATCAATGAAGATACTTTTACTCCAGTAATACAAAAAAATGTTTATGATCATTCTAATGGCTCATCGAAAAGTGGGCTGGATTCTACAGAGGACGAGAGTAATCCTGTACTCAATCCTCCAGATTTTCAATCAGAACTTTCTGATTGGGAAATTATTGACTGGCCCTGGGTAACACCATATTCACCCTTAGAGAGAATAACCCTGCTTTCCGACTGTAATTTCATTAAGATATTTCCAGTTCCGAGAATTATACCGCTAGGTGTTCCCCTAGATAGGCAACCTACCCTATATCCATATAATTTTTTAAGATTATTCGCAGATAATTGTTCTGGTGAAGATAAACTTCGACAAGCTTCGCTGAAAACCACTGAGCCGATCGGCAGCGTCAGGAATGACGGAAATGTCTCCACTCATCGTCATATTCCACTGGCTAAGCAGTCTACACGATTGAAAGAGCCAGAAGCTATTACTAAAGATCCGGCAGTGATATCAATTGGACCTGCACACTCAACAGACCACGCAACTCCTAAGGCTAGCGAAATTAGAACAGAGACTGAATCTCTTGATTCCGACCGAGATAATACTGAAGACGAAAGCCTATTGAAAAATATAGAGTTCTTTATCAAGAACTTTGGCCTAAAGAAAAAGCATGGCAGAGAATTGCTCCTAAGGCTATTACAATTTTTGACAAGTTATGGTGGGGAAAATAATCCCGAAGAAGAACCTAGGCAAAAATTCAGTCACAAAGAAAAATGTCCATACTCCATAGAAAAACATTATCGCGCCGAAAACGCCACTAACTCCAAATGTCAACTGAACCCAAATGTCCCTGAATTTGAGCCGAGTATAGACTCAACCATAAGATCATGTGAATTATTACAAAGGCTATCAGACCAAGTATTGCAGCAAAAAGGAACTTCACATGGACTACACGTGCCTACTTTTCAGCAAGATGAGAATATTGAAGTCTTGTCCACAGTTAAAGATCCCGTCTTATTGAAAGGAGATGGGCCGCGAGCAGATCAATTAATGTACAAGTTTAATGTCCCTGAGATAGAAAAAAGACCTTTATGGGTTAAAACATTGCAAAGCAAAGGAGCAAATACTCAGAATAAACTGATCGGCTCGTCTCTGAAGAAGCTTCATACTCTCGAATCTAACATTCAGCAACCTACACCTCTCAGCGAGATACCGCAGCTTCATAATAATTCTCATCATCTCCCTAATCTAACAACTTGCACTAACGATAAAATTGCATCGGATCTTCCAATGAACGATGATGGACCTGGTCGGGTTGCAAAAGTAATGGATAATAGGTGGGCGCAACAAATGTTAGAAAAATTCCGAGATAAGTATCCTATGACAGGCTCACCTAACCTGGATCCGGTTACAGAAGTTAATCAAAAAGTAATGAGCGATATTCAACAGCGTCTTGAGTACCTACTACTGGTGAAGAAAGAAAAGGAAGCCTACCAGCATTGGCTCGCTTATTCATCAGGATGTTTTAATGCAGAAAATGTTACTGAAACATAGCCCCATAAAACTCAAATGCTTTACGGTTAGAAGTAGCTGCATGGTCCAAAGTATCTGAGAACGATACCATAGAAATCGATTAATAACTCAATTTATCAGTTACAGAATACAGCTTGGTTTGTTAGATGGAATTTGCACTTGTTCACCATCACTATATTCTTATATTATAGGCTACCAACTACTGACCGCCTTCATGAGCGGGTATTAGGAAGTCGTTATTTTCATTGGGAGAGTAATTCTAGATTAGCTTTTAAAAATACACTAGTGCCTTACTCAAAGCCACAATCCAGATGAAATTTATGTAATTCTCCGTAAATTTTTCGATTGCCCTACTCACTACCATGTTTTCTCAATGTACACACTATGCATCCAAATTCCCACGCGTTGTCACAAGTATTTTACATATGCCACAATATAACGCTTTCTAACCCTGTTGGAAAGGCCATGTCTTGGTATCTGTTCATACAACAAAGTAAACTGGGTTAAAGATAGATTTTTACTCGTGACGGGCCAAAGTCAGCACCTATAGAGCACGATACGGAGAAGGCTAGTCCTCCGATAACTAGATATGAAGATAACTCAGTTTGACATTTGGACTACTCATAAAGTAGGTACATTCGCTGATACCAATCGAAACTTTTCTGCTAGTGACTCTCAACCTTCCCCCAACCGTAAATATCTAACAAATGGAAAACAGGAAAAAACCTTGGCTGCCTTGACTCCTCTCTACTTTCTTGGATATAGCCTCATAGTCCTTCATTTCTCGCATAGGATAATTTTCCAGGCTGCTCAGATTTGACTGAGGGAAATAAAGAATAAGATGTGGACCACAACACCTTCCATCGTCACTAGGTTTAAAGTTCGACTAGCACTATCTGAAAGTCGTAACATCGGCGCCCACAAGCACCCCAAAGTTGAAAACCCTTGAATAATATGAGACCCGGTATGCCCACTTGTGACCTTTTCACTCGCTCGTCCTACGTTCCAGCTACCTGTCCCTCCTCGCATGTATACATAAGATTATTAAGGAAATTCTGATCCCTCAGCTATTGAGGTTGTTACGAGCATTGATTCAAGTAACTACCGAGGTGAAACTTAGTACAGAATTTATATTCACGTGTGCATCAACTATACGGCCTGCTTGATAGGCCCAATTATTCTAAATTCCAACAAACAACGTAATTTTGTAGTAGGATATGGCTGATTTTTGAGAATGGGAATTCCCGTTTGCTTTTTGTGCGTCTACTTATTTGGTCGTTGAGGAAAGTTGGCTTGCGATATGATTAAATTTGAGAGCTTGAATGAGGAAGATAGGTCCGACGTTTGAGTTTGAAGTTGAAGCCTTTAACGTGATAGGACGGACCCAATATCTTTTTAGATGTGACACAGGCAGATGACCCTAAAAGCCCATTGCTACCTACATGACCGTCAATAAAGCTAGTAGCAATAAAAGAAAAAAGTAAACTAAATGTGTTGTGTTGTGTTTGAGCGATCATCTAGTGGCGAGTGTACTTGCCTTGTAAGGTAAGTAACTGAAACTTTGGAGATACTGTTTGTAGTATGAAGAAGAATTTATCTGTAAACTGCTGTTCTTTGTTGTATCTATGGCTACTATCTATGCGAAGGAGAACACTCCCATTCACACACGTAGCTCATCAATCTACTTGATAGTAGAAGATTCCATCCCGTGTTGTAAAATATTCTATCATGTGATATAGAATATTCTATATTCTTCTCTAATTCATCCTCATACAACTGTCCGTGATGTCATGACACTAGTCGTATCTTGTATAGGTCTGGATATCATCATACGCAGCTAATATTATTAGCTGAGCGAGTTCACATCATACCAAAATATCTAAGTTACGGTGCCCTGCACCGCGTCCCTATCTTCCAAATACATCACCTCCCGAGTTGAAAATAGTGTTGCGCTATGGTGTCATGAATCTACTTATTGGCAGATTTTCGAAGCTGTTAAGCTGCAGAGGTCGAGTCGATTTCGAGGAAGACAAATTATCGAAGGTTCGAGGTTACAAAGTTACGAAGGTCGAAGTTACGAGGTTACGAAGGTGCGAATTGGTTACGAGGAGACATATGAATGTGATCGAGGCTCGGATTATCAAAGTTACGAATTCATATGTTCAAATTATCATATTATCAAAATATCGAGTTCCGAATAAGCAAATTATACAACAAACAGAAAAGTTGTTAGAACTAAAGAGCTAATCCAAATTTCCAGCCCGAACAAATCTAAATCCCGTTGCCTCAGACCTAACCGAATGAAGAAAGTAACCCCTGCACCACCACATCCAGATTAAATCTAACAAATTTATAACATACGGTCATTCTAGGTTTACCCGAATCTACTCATAACTTGACTCAGGTCGGAGAAGTTAATGCTGATACATGATGTGTACCAAGGAAAATATGTTTTTGTTCGGATTTTAAATAACTAATACTTTGAATTGGGTTTACATTTTTGTTATGTTTCCGATGATATTCTCATCTTATCTGTCCTGAGCACGGTTTGGTATGTTTCGGCGGTAGCATTATTGCCAGCGAGTTATCTAGTAGAGTTTCAAATGAGGAAAACTATGTGTTTTAGATACTCGATAGCCAGAGTATAGAGAAGCAACCCTTCGATTATTTGTTACCTTCTACTCCCATTTCCAAAATAGTCTAACAAATAGTATCAGTGTGATGGGCTTTGCCCGGATTGGGACTGGTCACTAGGGCCACTCCGTCTTCGAGGTTGAGCTGTGATAGAGCGGTACTTCTAGAAATGCGAAGGGTGCGTATGAGGAGGTATCAATGGGGGTATGTACCAGATGAGGAGTATGGTACAAGAGAAGAGGTGAGCCGGGGAGAAAGGATGATTCTCAGGTGACCAAGGGGGGGGTAGTTAATACGAGTCTCCGTAGAAGACATAAGGGACAGGAGACGACGCGGTAGATTATCTTCCCAAGGAAAAATCATCAATTCTCATTGAGTTATCGACCTTCAAGTACTTCTAAATTCTTTAAACCTTTTACACCCAGCATGTTCATCTCCAATCGTCAATTTTTCGGTAGACTGACGCATCTGCTAGTAGTTAGGAATTGGAAAAACTTGTGCCATTCCTTCTCCATATCATTTCCGCAGCCTCAGATGGTGCCATTTTCTTAGCTTCTCCAACGTTGCAAAGCAGGTCGACACTCTGAAAGATGCCAAAGCCTCTTCTCTCGGCCACAAACGCACCTCATATCTTCGTAATCGGGATTGAAACGCCAATGGGAGTCGGCGAAGTCTCCCTAGCCTGTTCTTGTCGCAATAAGACGATGATATGCCCATCTTGGTAGAGTTAGTTTCGGTGGCCGTTTGTAGCTCATGTCGAGGTCGAGATCTTTTAGTAGTTTCAGCCGATACTTCTGCCACCACTTTTCCACAAGCTCTTGGCCGCGCATTTTAACTATCCCCCTTGATTCTGCAATAGATTAGTTTTTGAATTCTCCGCTGAGCGTAGCTGAGGTTGGTGACCGGTTATTGAGAGCTCCCAAGGCTGATTTGGCCAGCTTATCGGCCTCTTCATTGCCTCGAATCCCCACAAGGCCAGGTATTCAGCGTATTGGCATACGCTTGTTGTGTATCAGCGATGAAAACTTGTTCATTACTGCCTGTGAGGAGTTAGATCTTCCTCGGTCGAGCGCCTGGGTGGCCGCTTGGTTATCCAGAAGTATGCCAATCGGTAAGTCTTCTCCTACCTCTATTGCAGCATCATAGGCTTTCATGGCGCCTACAACTTCCGCGTCGAATACCTCTGCTCCGGGAAGTAGACCAGAACTACTCCCAACTAGCTTGCCTCCCTGGTATACTACATACTCCCAGGCTGATTTTCCAGGACCCGATAAAGATCCATCAGAGAAAGCATAGACCGTCTTGGTTGGTAGGGAAGTAAACCATCTTTTTATGCTTCCTGACCGAACTTCTTTTTTTCGACCACATGAAGTCGATGCTGAGGGGCCATTTAGAAAGATAAGCTTTTGCACGACCTTCGGCTGTTGGAAGTTGACGTAAGCTCATTTGCGGGCGTATCAAGTATTTTTCTGGTAGTTAAAACAAGCGATCCCGTTATCCAGACCTAAGGCCTGAGCGTCTTATTGTATCTTTCGGGCCCTCAGCTGCCTGAAGGGCTAGAGAGTGCCTGACATCCATTCTTCGTATGCGATCTATAGACCATAACATATTTTGCCGGAGAACAATAGATTTTAAGGCTATTTCCATATCACGAAATATAGCGTTTTTGTGAGTGCTATTCGGATAGCTTTCAAAATCGTTTGGTGCGAAAAAGATATAAACTAGCCTACCCCAGTGCCGACTCCATTACCTTGTAGTATGGATGTTCAAATAAGACCCCACCACAGCAATGTTTCTCCATGTAGAGTCGTGCCCAGAACTGTTGGAAATGAAGACACGGAGTGTTGTGGACGTACGGGCCCTCCATTTCGTCTAGGTTCCCGACACGATCTTGTGTGTATTTAAGAGGTTGGAATAGGTAATGTTGTAGCGCTCCAGGCTACCCATTGGACATATTAGCAGCTGTATGGCGTGGACACAAGGAGGTTATTGGGGATTTTTTATGCCTCAATGGCGCCACACTCGTTTTTGCTGTGGCTTAGGCCCCGTGACTTATCATAAATCTATTTTTTCTCCCCTCTATAACTATACAGGTCATGCAAGTCCTTTCTGTCTACAGGACAAGAATACTTATAAAGTAGTACATCCCTTCCTATGCCTCCCGTCTAGCTCCCTTCAAACAGTATCGCCTCTCACAAGTCTTCGTTCGATCATACACTTAGAGAAGCCCTCTGCCCTTTATTATCTCCGCTATCCAGCCAACGAAACGATGGCCATTTGCGGGTGTATAGCAGCCGGGAAAAATCGCAAAAACCACAAGGTCCGGGGCTCTTCTAACAACAATAACAAACAACGCTAGCCCACCGTAACCTAACTAGGGCCCAAGG